CAAAATGCAAGGAGGATATTCTTGTTACTACTGCAGGTTTTATGTTTTCCTAGCCTATATTATCAATCTACAATTTTTGAAGGCCTTCATTTTTTGGCAACCTAAAGTAAATATTATACATCCTTAAGTACCAATCAAAAATAATCTTAACATCATAAAATCTTTTGATGAAAAAAACTATTATATAAAATTTACGATTTACACTATTTTCAAGTTATTTTTTTTTAAATGAAAAGCTCAATTACCCTTTACTAATGAACAAAAAAGCTCCAAAATAGTCAAAATTCACTGTAACACTGTAAAATAAACTCCGAACAAGGCTTAGATGACAGACGACGAATTACCACAAATGAACGTCATCCTAAAATGGCGTCATGCTTCAAGGTGGAGCTTAGTGAAATTATGAAAACTGTCAACAGAAAATTGAAGTCTAAGATATGTACTTTTCTTTTTTTACATTTTAAAATCATAACGTGTGAGAATGAGACAGATATATTTTTATTGGCAAGGTTCATGTTTGCATGATATTTGTATAACCAAAAAAATATGCAATTTACTGCTTATCCTCTATTTTTCTTATATCAATGGTATTCCTGTATAGGGTTAGTTACTATACTCTTTGATCATTAGTCATTACACAGCTAATAATATGATACTTATGACATCTGACCGGACTTGACCTAATATTTATTTATCTATGGATCTGACACAGCTTAGATGTGCTAACTCGGAAAAATTACAACTGAAGTTGACGCAGCTCGAGTTACGGAACTCGAGTTAGCAGTACGAAACAGAGCAAATGATTTGTTACAAATTACTTTTTTATAAATTTGTTTTTCTATCTAGCTCTTTGTTGGGTTGGGGTAACTATAATTACCAAACTTATTATGTAGGATTGAAATAAAAAGGTGTAATTAGTATGTATCACATACTTATGTATTTTTTATCTTAATCTTAGTCATAGTAAGTACTTGTATTTAACAACAAAACTAGCTATGTAGCAGTCTTCACGAAAAAATATTAGTCTAGCTTTAAGATATAGGTACATAAGCTATTAATAGTTTTATTATCACAGTCAACATATTCTTAAATAAATTCAAAATATTTATTGTAAATTTCAGTGTTACAATTGGCGTTAATTTAAAACATGGTGTATCTTATAACTTAACCATCCTTTTCGGGTATTACAATAATAGGTCTGTGACATACATAACTATATTGATCATAATTAATCAAAATCATAAAAGAAATTAAATTACATTAGTAACTTAACTATTATAAAATTCTAAATAACAAATTGTTTTGGTTGTAGCTAAATACTCTTTAAAATACAAAGCGCTCACAAAACGAACGAATCGCGCTCTTATTCTTTTGCTGATTCACTTGATACGTTCATGTACAGCATCCCAAACTAGAGTTAGGGAGATCCAACTCTGAGTTAAGCGCAACTGGAATTAACTCGAGTTAAGCGCAACTGGAATTAACTCGAGATAAGCGCAACTAGAATTAACTCGAGTTGACCCATCACCAGGGTGAGGCAACTTTGTATGAGAGCTGAAAAATCTGCACACAATCATGATTTTGTCAATTGTCATGTTGGGCTTGTAAAAATAAAGCGAGAAAAAATATCGCTGTTTCATTCCTTCATGCTGTTTTAGATTGCCATTTTAAAAATTAGATACACAAATTCATATCATATCGGAAGAAACTAAAAATGTTAATTCTGTGTTATACTTTTTTGTTTTGCTCTTTAAAGTATAATTACATAGATATTACTCCGAGATTTGCACAATGAATTTACCTATTAATTTATTTAAATTAAACAATTAAATATTAGCAGAATTCAATCAAAAGCAGCCATGAATTAATAGAAGAAAAAAATGACATTTGTTTGTCCACGTCTTTCATATTGAAAATATGTAACATGTCATTGGCGAATTCATCGTAACCGCCATAAAGGAAGAAGAAGACATATTGAAAATTATTTCATAAGTTTAGTTGTTAATATTTATTATAGATTTTTGCTTAAATTCAGTTATTATGGACTTCATTTTCCTATGTAGGCGAATACACACTCATAATATCATCGTGAATATACAGTAAAGATTTTTTGTGAGATGTTAACTCTGTATAAGATATGGACTTTAAATGAATTCAGTATTTCAAAATTTTATGCACGATTTGTGATCATGGAAAGTAAGTTAAGTGTTGTGCAAATAAAAAGCACAAAATCATCTGATCACTGTCTGCAGGTTTCCTATGATAGGAAAAGAAAAACTTATGACAATATTCTGGTAAGTCTAAACATTTTGAATTTATTGGTCATTATTTGTAGGGATTATTACTATATTGACTCGAATTGTATCTGTTTCAGATCAAGTATTTGGGCTGAGAACACTTAATTCATCATGAGAATTTTGCTGATTTAAATTTACGTTAATGTTCTGTGAAGAATAACTCTTTGACAATAACATATGTTATATATCAGTAACAAGCGTGGAAATATTATGTGTAAAAGCAATAAAAAACATCAATAATAATGTATAGTTTATAAAACAATCTGTCTTCCAGAAAATAAAAATACATAACTTCTAAAATATATGGGACAGACAAAATTCTAAAATATATGGGAATTTACCCTATAGGTTTGTGAGGCTTGAGCCAAAATTATTCGAATATGTCTTAAATAAAAATTTTAAAGTTACAGAATACAAAGGTTTGAAATTACCGTTAAAAAAGTTTTATATGGGCGTCCACCGTAGCGCTTTTAGTGTACACTCATAAACACGTGTTTCCGTTTTTTAGTATGAAGTTGGCGTTCTTCTCTTGGTAGAGAGTAACTGTGTTTTGTGCCCATCACACTAAAGGCGCCTACTGACATGCCTGCCGCAGCGGCAATCTAGAGAGCACAGCGATCGGAGCAATATCGGAGGTGTCTCTACACACACGCCTGCCGTTCATTATGAGAGTGTACGTCTCGCTGGACGCACGTGATGAGAATGGCGCCAGTTTTATCGAAATATCAATGAATCGGTATATATAGCCTTGGCTCTTTTCTATATAGAATAAGGGTGACAAATGAGCACAGTCCACCTGATGGTAAGTGGACACTGTGGCACATAGACACAATTATCAATAAAACAACTAATTAATTAATAATTACAAACATAATATAGTGCTTATAAGCTGCAGCATAGCTCTGCCACGCTATTTTTAGGCTATCAAAGACAATTAAATATGACTAACTTCACTAGTCTTAATTTAATATAACCTATTTATTCTGTGATATAACTTAATTAACTAGTGCTTAGTAACTATAATTTAACTAGTGTTACAAATGGCCAGGATAGTTTTCTAATTATGAGTTTTAATAAATTTAATTACATACTAAAATTTGTATTTTTGTATAATTATTTAGTTAATGACATTTTATTTATATTTCAGCAATTTTAATACTATTGGAAATAATCTTTCCCATACTAGCCCTTATGATAAGTTACGTAACAAATCCCAGTAATGTTACTTGTAAGGTACAACGTTCAAATGACGTTCATTCTGCGGTTCTGACTTGTACTCATACGTGTGCTCCGCGCGAAAGTCGCAACGAACTGATTGAAATTGCTCCAATTTCGTTACACACGCAACAGCGGCAGGGCCAATCTAGGGAGCAAGGAAGGTCTTGCGCTCCTGCCGCCCACCCTCAAGGCCGACTTACAAAATTGCCCCTGCTTGCCTACACACATCACAATTAAGGAGGCAATTAAGGGTCATCCCCACTCCTACACCCTAGATTGCCCCTGCGGCAGGCACGTCAGTAGCCGCCTTAAGTAGTCTGTGGCCCATCACTTTGACATTGACACAGTAAACCTAGCTTGCTACATATTTATTTATCTATGCAGTAAACAGTAATGCAATAGACACAAGGAGTTTTGGCGGGAACTTGTCCGGTGGCGGTTTGCTGCTCCTGTATTATTGTTTAAATAATGGTTTGAAGTGGACTTTGATATGTAAAAGTGGTGCGATTTTGTGTATTAAGTGTCTGCGCATGTGAACTATTAGTGGAAACTGTGAAACAAGTGCTCTGATGGTGATGTGATTCTCAAAATAAGGTGTCTGACTGCTTAGGTGCCTTGAGATACCATCGCCAACCGTCAGCTGTCTGCTGGCTCAAGTTACCGTCAAAATCTCACAAGGGCCGCACAATGTGACGCATCAACATTTTGTGAAACAGTATACTATGAAGGATAATTATTATAATATATTGTAACTTCAGGCTCAGAAGGGCTAGATCCCAGAGCCGTAAAGCCAGTTATAAAGAAGAAGCAATAGACACAAACTAAACGTAGTGGTTATATTCTCTTTGACACAAACTATATAGAAACACTACGTGAGTTTTGGCGGGAAATTGACCGGCGGCGGTTTGCTGCTCCTGTATTATTGTTTAAATAATGGTTTGAAGTGGACTTTGATATGTAAAAGTGTTGCGATTTTGTGTATTAAGTGTCTACGCATGTGAACTATTAGTGGAAACAGTGAAACAAGTGCTCTGATGGTGATGGATTCTCAAGATAAGCTGTTTGTTTGCATAGGCACCTTTAGATACCATCGCCAACTATCAGCTGTCTGCTGGATCAAGTTGCCGCCAAAATCTCCCAAGAACTGCACAATGTGACGCATCAACATATTGTGAAGCAGTATACTATGAAGGAGTGGGGAAATTACAATAAACCGAATAAAAATACTTAAGACTTGGTTTGAATAATGTTAAAAAGGCCTAAAGGTCTAGATACCAGGCCATAAACTCCAAAAAAAAAAAAAAAGAAACACTACGTGTTCCGGTATATAATACTCTACTCTATGACTACGCGTTTCAATAGAGTAGAATAGTAAAACAAGTAAAACAAAACAAATAAACAACCGTGAATAGGAAAGTACATTCCCCACATTAAAAGGAAGAACGTTCTCCAATTTGAGTAATTTTCAACAATAACAATCTCAAAATGCTGCCTGGACGGATTGGTGGTATGCATTTGGCAAATGAAAATCCCTTGGGGCTTTCTTGGCATGATTCAGCTTGGATACCTTTATTAAGTCCTTCGAATATTATGGATTACTTCTCCGAAAAATCAAACCCATTTTTTGACCGTACGTGTAATAATGAGGTTGTTAAAATGCAACGGTTAAGCATGGATCAGCTACAGTAAGTAGTGTTTAGTTTTTAATACTAGAATTTAATGTTTCAAATTATAACTTCTTATTTTTATCAAACGAATCTTAATACTTTTTGAATACAACAAATTAAATCGACTGTAAAACACTTGCATAATTTTCATTATTTGTTCAGAAACATGACAGGTTTGGAATACATCTTATTGCATGTACAAGATCCTATTTTATATGTAATAAGGAAACAACAAAGGCACAGTCCAAATCATGTAATACCATTAGCAGATTATTACATAATTGCTGGAATTGTTTATCAAGCACCTGATTTAGCCAGTGTTCTAAATTCTAGATTGGTAAGTTTTGTCCTATTAACTTTCGTTTTAAATAATATAGACTAATTTAGGATATCTGTAATCATATATATATTCCATTTTTAGTTGTCAGCTGTGCATCACTTGCAATGTTCATTTGAGGAAACTATGATGTATTCAAAATACCATCCAAGCAAAGGTTATTGGTGGGATTTCAAAACAAATAAAACAGGTAAACATGCAAATTATTATAAGGTACGACTTTCCATTGACGTCAGTGGAGTTTGGTGTTGATACGTATTTTTACAGAAAGATTACACTATTATAAGCACACACACAAAGTCTCAATATACGGAAACGCGTAATTTTTGAGAAAAGAATAATTGAAAATCAATTATTCTTGCAATGTTTATGTCTAATCTGCTAATAAACTGGCGCCATTTTGTAATGTCATTGTCGACGTTAATAGGGATGTCGATTCTTTCCGAAAAAGGTCGATTTTTAAATCGATTCAAATCGTAAGCTGATGTATCGATTCCTAAAAAATCGATTTCTAAAATATCGATTTTTTTTTCATGTTTACATTTATAATGTAAATATAAATCCATTTTATGAGAAAAAAATCCCCTTCATCATAAAAAATAAGGGGACTGATTCATACGGATTTCTGTATCTATTTTGAGACTGCTACGTCTCCGGCGCTGCGGGAAGAGCAACCTCTACGCCTTAGCGTAACAAATCGCAGGCATCCCTCCTCGCCTCCGCAGCTTCGGCTTGTTGGTCGCCTTCGGCGACCAGCCTCAGCCGCTCCGGCTCGTCCGATGCCTACGATTTGTTACAGCAGGCGGAGGCTGCTCCCCCTACGCGCCTCCGGCTCTATAAAACCACTCTAGGGGTAGGACAGACTCGTACCAGGTGGAGTCGGGGTCAATCAATTCGGTTCTTTGACATAAGTTGAACCTAACCTATTTTATTTATCTGCCCTAATAGGTACTGTTAAATAAAACAAATTTCAATAAGAGATCATTTATCATGATATCTTTCTTGTTTTTCATAAAATGGGTTTATATTTACATTATAAATAGAAACATTAAAAAAATATAGACATTTTAGAAATCGATTTTTTGTGAACCGATACATCAGCTTACGATTTGAATCGATTTAAAAATCGACCTTTTTCGGAAAGAATCGACATCCCTATTGACGTCGACAATGACATTACAAAATGGCGCCAGTTTATTAGCAAATTAGACGTAAACATTGCAAGAATAATTGATTTTCAATTATTCTTTTCTCAAAAATTACGCGTTTCCGTATATTGAGACATTGTGTGTGTGCTTATAATAGTGTAATCTTTCTGTAAAAATACGTATCAACACCAAACTCCACTGACGTCAATGGAAAGCTAAGCCTATTATAATATAAAAAAAAGGATTTACATAGATAAGTGCAATGATATGTGAAGAGTGATGACTTGATGAAACATGCAGGGAGTTGGATGCCAAGGAGTTATAGGCAACCCATGGGGGAGGTTGGTGTTTAACATTGGACTTGTGATAGGCTATATTAATGATGGTAAAAATAAACTTATAACTTCTGGCCTCAAGTTTTTATACACTTCTAAGTCACTACACATTATATTGGGGCTAGTCACAAGTTTGTTAATAATATTTTAGTCCTTTTAGACACAGGTATATTTTATTCTAATTGTCTTTTCGTCTTACTTTAGCAAGCCATAAATTAGCCTTCCTGATCAGGAAGTATTAGTAGCAAAATGTCTTAACTATTTAAAAAGTTAAACTATATGTCTAATAAGTAAAACATCTTTATAGAAAACTGTTCAAGTGCTTGTCGGGCCACGCACAATGTAGAGGTAGGGTTCTGTAGTTGCCCGTCACAATATGTGGGCTTCCTGGATAATGAGCATAATAAGTGAGTTTGTGGATTGATTGCTATAATAACTAAAAATGGGCCCAATTAGGAAGATCATAACTGAAGGACTTATTTTCAATTCAGCCTTATAGGGAGTGGTATTCAAAAAAGATTAAAAACCTTTTTGATTTTGTTAATAATATCCTATCTGTCCGGTAAATGAAAAATTAAAGCTAATAGTAGTAATGCATATAAGTAGTTTTCTTCATATAAATTAGCAGCTAGTTTTAGGTCATTTTCTATGGAGTTGTAATGAAATTATTACTAATAAAATTTTATAAGTTGGTTGACTATTACCAGTTAATTTCTTAATTCTACTTAGCTGTAATAGTTTTTCTTTTAACTTCATTATATATACTAGTATTGTGTATACTTTTCACATTTCCGAAAACAGTGGTTTAGTTGGTAAAGGGAGAGGGGAGGGGAGGGAGGACACATTACTAATGAAAAATACCACTTTAAAGCTAAGTATTTTGCAAACGGATCACTGAATCGAAAACATGTTGTTCCACACCCCCAAATGTTTTTCAAAAACCTATCCAACCTACATATAGATGTTAATCATGCCTAGAAAACTATAAAATAAAATTTTTAAGATTTTATTTTACAGTTTTCTACGCATGATTAATATCTATAACTATGCCAAATTATAGATTTGTAGCACCTAGGGTCTCTGAGCAAAACCACAGATGGATGAACGGAAGGATATGGCTATAAAACACTACACGGAACACGTAGTTGCACAACAAGGAACCCTAAAAATGACCTATTATTGCAATGTCTGTATAGCAGAATGTCTATTCAGCAAGAAGTCAGTGTTTTAAATGTACACTCATAAACATTATTTATTTATTTGTCACATCCTATCATAGTCCACTGCTGAATGTATGCCTTCATATAGATTGCCCCAATAAAACCTTGATTTGCCATAGTTAACATGCTTAACAGACAGGTTGGTAACTATAGTTTTTTTTTCTAGTTGTTATAAGGAAGATGCTGCTGCCCATCTTCTGGTTTGTTTTTCTCTATTGCTTTTTACAACACTCATGGGACAATATGAGGTAGAGGATTATTCTTACATCACCACTGCATGGAACAAATTCCTGCCTTATGGCCAAAACTCAAACTCTACTCAATTTTAAGATGTTGTTAAGTTTCATGGTGTCACAGATTTTTGGCTTGGCTTAAAGTGATAGAGACAGCATGATATTTAATGGCATCTTAAAATTGAGCACCATTTAAGTATTTGGGCTATATAGACATTAATCATCATTTTATTCTTAGTAATTAGTGCTTAATTTTTTTTTGAATTCGGTTAACAAACAAATACATAGTAAACCTGATGGTAAGTGGTTGCTGTGGCGCATAGACATCTACATCTATCTTCGATTGCAAATTAAAATACAGATGCGTTGTCAGCCATGAGGACTAAGATAGAATGTCTCTTTTCCAGTAAAATAGGTCTGCAGTTCTCTACACTCACCATACGAAACACAGTAGCATTAAGTTGCTGTTTTACACTGGTATTCTGTTAGAGTATGGGCCTTCCCCGGTTGAGCCGACCCATTTGTGCTACAACTATACTATTAATATAGTTGCAACATGGCTCTATCACATTACAAAATTAATTTATTTAATTGAGTAAAAGTTATTTGCAAAATGCATTAATTTAAAATAAAAAAGCAACAACAAAGGAACCATTACCATTACAGCCTATTAAATATGCCCTAGTTGCCACGCTTGGCAACCGCAGTCTTTTATCAGGAAGAATCTGCTGCCCATCCCGAATTATTTCCCTTTGTCACCCCTTATGACACCCACGGGATGATATGGGGTAGTGGATATTCTTACACCGTCAACTACATGGTAATGGATAACAAAGGATTATACCCTGACTATTTGGTCCACTCACCATAGAATATCTGTTTCCAAGTATCCATCCTAGGGTGGCTGTTTTACGGTGTATAAAAGGAATAACTGTTTAAGTTTAGCTTAATATATGTTTGTTATTATTATATAATATAATTATAGAATAGAAAACCCCTTTAGGTCTAAATAATAACTTGGATTTATAACCAACTTCTATATCATCTAAATTAGTAGGTGCAAGCCCATTTAACACCAGTCAGCCAGCTATTAAGGAAACATCAAATACACCCAAAGAAGAACCCTCCACACTCTTCCAGCGTCAAAGAGTTGACATGTTGCTTGCAGAGTTAGTGAGGCAGTTTCCACTTCCAGTAACACCTGCTACATCTAGTCAGGTGATTAATTTTATTTTTATAAATTAAATTAACAGTAGTTCTGGAATATGAAGGATATATTATATAGCTCTAAATATTTTAAGTAAACTTGCCATTGTTGTTTATCACCTCAATATGTTTTTATTATATTATTGTGTGGTGGACAGGCTAAGTAGCTAAAAATTTGTAGTATCAAGGATGTGAAACATGGTGATTTTGAAAGTCCCTAGAGAGGTAGTGGTCCTTGTCCAGTTATGGCCTTTTAAATCTATCAAGCTATAAATAAATTATACCTGTTATTGTATTTTGACTTTTGAAAATATAACATAATTTAAAATTAATAATTTTGTACAGCCGACTTCAATATAAGTTATTAAGAATACCTCAAAAACTATTGGTCTGATCTTCATCAAATTCATATGGGACCACACAAGAAGTATCAGCTTTCATATAAAAAAAGAATCATCGAAATCGGTCCAACCAGTAAAAAGTTATGAGGTAACACACATAAAAAAAAAACATAAGCGTCAAATTGAGTACCGTCTCCTTTTTGGAAGTCGGCAGAAAAATATGGCTAGCGAGACTGTTTACAAAAGTAATTGATTAAAAAAATTGCATTTGTTGAATTTTAATTTATTACAAACAACTTTTTAAAATTCCAGACAAATGGTGTTACAGTGAAGACAGAAAATACAAATGATAAGGACAAAGCCTTGGAAAATAATGGTGTTAATAATATAACCATTAAACAAGAACCTGTAGATACTATTAGCTCAGATATGACAAATGGCTCAATGCAGGGGCATGTGGAAATTAAAACAGAAATTAAGCAGGAGAACATGAAACCCCCACCAGAGAAGAAACCAAGAAATTTGTAATGCTACTCCAATGAAAAATGCATTCTACAAACATAAAAGACCTGAATAAGTGACAAATGTATAATATTAGTAGAAGTGTATTTTGAAATATCAAATAATTAATTAAAGAAAGAAAAATCTTACTGAAACTGTTTTGGTTCCACTTGATAACTAGATTTTATTTTTTAACATTTCATTAAAACTATTGGATTATATGGTTTACTTCCTGGTCATTTCCGATTACAGTCCATCACAAGTCTACTATTTTTTTATAGAAGCGGTTATCTATCTTAGGGATCGCGGATTGACCAAAGTGGGTTGCCTTGAATTTGGGACTGAGCCTAGGGGAGTAGGAGTACTGGAAAAGACACTTCAGAACCGGTGCCAACTCGGGAGCATATGTCCTCAGCCCAATCGGAGGGACTCCATCAGGCCCAATCAACTTATTGACATCCAAGGAGAGGAGTGCTGCACACTGAGCGCTGTGTGAACTGCACGTCCAACATGGATCTCTCAAACAGGGGGATGGTCAGCAGTGTGGAACACACATACCTCATCCCATCATTGAGAGTCGAGTTGAACACAAAAAGAGAGCCTAAAATATTGGCTTTCTCCTTTACAGCATGGACCAGTGAGTCATCCTCCGAGTGCAGAGATGGAAGGTATGACTGACAGAAATTCTCTTGGGCAGCCTTGGTGAGAGACCAGTATGAACGGGTTCTCAAAGGAAGGTGAATTTGTTTCTTGCCAGTTCTGCCGATGTGCCCTGACTTTGCCTTAAAATGACTCGTTTGAAGGACCTGGATGCAGAATTATACTTCTTTTCAAGAGTGCTGTGTTTACATCCCGGGACACTGGATCATGTTATATGAGCCATGTAGGGCTTTTGGTAAATTAAATAAGTATAAAATGAAAACATACACTTTATTGCTTTTTATTTACATGTACCAACAAATATATTATTAAACTTGTAAATAATAACCCTTTAATCATGTTTTCATTCCTTGACTATCTAAATATTCATCATTTTTCTCTTTTTGTAAATTAAATAAATTTACTAAATTACCTTCCAATGAATTGTTTATGCAAATTTGGCAGTTGATTTTCCTTGGGTCTCTGAAATTTTGCTCCTCTTTCTGCACATATTTTGTTCTAAAATTTGACAAGGGTAAACTTATTAAACAATATATTAAATAATTTTAATTTAATGACAGTAAAATCCCAGATTAAATAAACTTACTTAGTATCAATAACTCCTAGGCAGAAACCAAAGCTCAATCCTTGTTCATATCCTGTATCAAAACTAGACTGATATGTTGCTGCCTGACCGTCAGTGACACCATCAGAGTATCCAACCTAAAAGACAATTATAGGAACATAGTGATGATTTTAATCTGGAAAGTAAATAATTATCGACCCATAGCTCTGTTACCTACGTCGGCTAAAATATTTGAATCGGCCATGGCAAAACGTCTTTGTTCATTTTATGAAACATTTAAAATTTTACATGAAAACCAAAATGGCTTTAGAAAAGACCACTCTACCACCTTAGCAATTTATAAATACGTAAAAAACATTCTAGACAAAATCGACAATAAAAAATTCGCAGTAGGCCTCTTGCTCGATATGAGTAAAGCCTATGACAGAGTTTGTTATAGAACTCTATTGGATAAACTATATCAAACAGGAATTAGGGGAGTAGCTCAGAATTGGTTTAAATCCTATCTTGATAACCACTTTCAATATGTAGAAATTGAAAATACCGACTTCGAGACTGGCAAAATTACACATGTTAGATCTGATGCAACTGTCATTACTGGTTCTATCACACAAGGTAGTGTTTTGGGATACATTTTGTTTCTTGTTTACATAAATAATCTCCCAAACATACTGGACGATCTATGCATGCTCTTTGCCGATGACATCTCCATCTTAATCTCTTGCACTAATTCCACGGATTTAACAACAAAATTAAACTATACATTAGATAAAATTACTAACTGGCTAGAATTACATAATCTACAACTTAACCTTAATAAAACTAAAATTATTCTATTTAAACCCTACCAAAAAACTGCTTTACAAATATCTTATAGCTATAAAAACACAAAACTAGAAACTGTTAACTCTGCTACTTTGTTAGGAATAGACCTGGATACGCATTTGAGTTGGAAACAGCACATACAAAAAATTGTAAAAAAAATATTCTCTTTTATTTACGCTCTACAATACCTCAAACGTGTGACAGATTTTAAGACTGCCCTTGCGGCTTACTATGCACATGCTCATTCGGTACTCTCCTATGGCATCGTATTGTGGGGAAACTCTTGTGATGTAAACAAATTATTTATATTACAAAAGAAGTGTTTACGAATATTAACGAATTTAGACCAAATGGAATCATGTAAACCTCACTTCATTAAATATAAAATACTAACACTTACGTCTATCTACATCCTCGAGTCTTGTAAATTCGTCAGGAAACACCCAAAATTGTACTCACCTATTACAATAACTAAAAGAAATAATAGAAATTTATATAAGCTTAGGATGATACCCTTCTCCAAACTAAAATTAGTTTCGACTAGCCCCCCCGTTATGTCAATAAAGATTTATAACCATTTACCGAATTCTATAAAAATCCTAGAAAACCCTGCGCAATTTAATAAAAATTAAAAACATTCCTTATTAAATTAAATGTTATTATACTTTGAAAGAATTTTTTGACGATAAATAATATTAAATGTTGACAATATGATATTTTTATAATTTATGTTTAAAAGTTAGATTATACAAAAATAGTTAGTCCTCTAGTGTTGCTATGCCCTTGCAGGGCGTCACATGTATACCTATCAAATGTAACATCTTAAATTTGTAATGTGACATGCAATAAACAATTTGAATTTGTACTTAGCTCCTTGGTAGGCAGTGACAATGAGCCAATCAGTCGTGTATTACTTAGCTTTCCTCTTTACCTTATTTATAGGGCCGACATTGCGTATCCATGTCCTCATAGAAATATCACCGGATTCATCAGTCATACTATTTAATTAACACTCTATAATATATCTTATAGTGGTAATTATTTCTTCAACTTCAACTTAAAACAAACAAGAACAGTTTTTTTAACTGGCTTTACGGCTCTGGGTTCTAGCTCTTCTGAGCCTATGAGAACAATCTCTTATCTGAAGCCATAGATTACTGTATATCAAGGACAGTTACTATACTCTTTGCTGTAAATATACTAGAGATAGATGTGCGACTCAAATTTAATTTTCTTTAGTGTCGTGCTTTGCATAACAGACGGCGCTTACAAAAGAAGGAACTTGAAAAAAAGGGAAAAAATAAACACACCTGCTAGACGCGATCCGGGATCTTTAGATTTCGGGACCGCCCGATTATCCACCTGAGCTATTATAACCCTGTGCTTTGTGGCGAAATTTACCTTCGTATTCTAATAATATTTTAGCAGTTTTTCATTGTCTGAAAAAACATAAAATGGCATTTTCTATAAATAAATAATGTTCAATAAATATTAATAACAATTTAAGCGTAAGTGACCGCTACTAACTGCGTAGTGCGCGTGGATTATTTCGTATGCATAGACTTAATATATAAGTGCCCTCTAGTGAGATTAAAAGAAGTCTAGCCTAGCGCTTCTGAATGTAGATGGAAGCACATAAAACGTATCATTTTGTTCGTAAAATAATGTTCTAAGTTGCATGCACATGTCTGAAGTTTTTTTTTCCTAGTTTGGCAACTTCCAATAGATTCTGCCAGCGTCAAGTATTTCCCTATCTGAAGTAGGGATGCTCGATGTTCGATGATCATCGATGTCAAAAATGAAAACATCGATGTTGCCACATGTCAAACATCGAAACATCGATGTCAATAAACCCATAATCGATTATTGGGTACTTGCGAACCCGCGAAATCAATATCAAATAAATCTTGCATCTCCTCTAAAAAATTTTGAATAATTGAGAATGCTTGAACGCATCGATAATATTAAAATTTATCATTATGGTGTATCAAATTTAATTGTGAAGTGTCAACTGTAATGTCGCAGTTGTCACTGATTTCGTTTTGTTATTGTTGTCGTTGCTGGATGTCTGTTTCTTTGTTGGTTGTTTTAAAAAAAATCCGATGGTTGATCTTAAATACGATCCAATGCACGTTTAGAACAATGTTATTCGTTCTACCTATCTAAAATAAAAGAAAAGAACTTGCGGTGAGATATTTGACCACAATCGCTACATCAACGCCATCTGAGCGGTTATTTACCGACTTCAAAAAGGACGACTAAAATGTTTAATATTTCTTGTTGCATAATAATGTATTATAATAAAAACTAGTTTGTTGGTACTTTATAATACTTTGTATATTTATTTTAATATAACAGACATATGTTTTAATAATATTTTATAATTGAATGTAGAAAGAGGCGTTGAGCCTGCAATTGTTTTGTCAAAAGTCAAGAAAACTGTATGTTCTTTTTTTATGTGTGTTACCTCACAACTTTTTTCTGGGTGAATTGATTTCGATGATTATTTTTTTTATTTAAAAGCTGGTGCTTGGTTATGTGGACTCATATAAATTTGACCCATATAAATTTGACCAATAGTTTTTGAGTTATCCTTAATAATTTATATTGAAGTAAGTTGTACAATTTTTTTTTTAATTATATTCAATAGCTGGCTCAACTCCTTATCAACAGAGAAACAGATTGAAAGGTTTTTGTCAAAATTACTATTTCTTCAATCAATCGGCAAAAATATTGGACTATAATATAACAAATGAACTAGATATTTGTGAACTTCTTCCAATTTTTTTAATTACTGTTATACACTACATTGTTTATTAATTTCTTTTATTTAATTCATTATAAACCATAAACAACATGACAATTTTATATTTATCTAATTCTAACCTATTAAATACATGTCCAAAAAACATTGATAATGGCCAACATCGATGTTTAGAGTTTGATAAACATCAAACATCGGTGTTGAGTTATCGAT